CCACAGGCTGGGGACAAAGCTGTCAATGCCTGAGTTTTTGTGGGACATTTAAAACCCAAGCTCTAACAACTCCAATTTGGAGTGTCAAGTTCTAGAGCCATCAATGGCAATATCACAGATGGTGGATCTGTCTGGCCTCCAGAGTGATGGCATGTTGCATAAACCCCCCCAGGAGCTGAATGCAATCAGGACACCTCAACCCAAAATATGCCACTTTGGCAACCAAGAAACAGAAAACACAGGTACTCCATGCCCTGCTTGAAATCAGGGCATAGATTTCCTTTTTATAAAGGAAATTATAGAGGTTCTCCTTGAGGCAGGAGAACAAGAAATACAGTTTGGTCAAGAGTGGGTAGAAGCCAGGCACCAGTGGCTCACACCTATAATCCTAGCTACTCATGAGGAAGGGATCAGGAGGATCAAGGTTCAAAGCCAGCCTGAGAATATAGTTCACAAGACCCTATCTTGAAAAAACCCATCACAAAAATGGCTGGTGGAGTGGCTCATGGTGTAAGCCCTGAGTTCAAACCCAGTACCTCAAAAAAAAAAAAAAGATGGGGTGGAGACTGACCAGATAAAATATCATAAAAGTCATACCTAGAACATGCCCCCTTTAGGAGACATATGGTTGGAAACATCCTTAAAAACCACTTTTTGTGGTTAACTCAATAGCTGCTATGTCACGATAAAACAGGATGTCTGAGCAGAAAGGAAAGGTCCCAGAGCTAGCACATGCAACTGAAAGTTGGCGAACCTGTCCTCAGATGACCTTTGGAGACACCCCCCTACTTAAACCTTCATATATATGGACTGCATCTCATGCATATAATTATAACAGAATGCATTATGAGTAGCAACATGTACAGTCAAAAATAAATTCTTTAATATTCTGTCAGTCAAAGCAGTCAATCATAAGAGGGATGCCCCTTGCAGCTCTCACCCAGCTCCAGCTTCTGCCTCTAATTACAATCTTGCCAGAGAGTCCGGGGCCTTGAGTTTCTTCACCCAGGCCTAGTTCTGCCTGCAGGAGTGCATTCCACTTTCAGTAAGTCTATGCTTTGCTTGCTACTTCTGTGGGTTTTGTACAAATCTTTGCTCAACTCACCAAAAACCTGGAACACTCACAACACAGAGGTGCTCACACCCCCCCCCACCAAAAGAGAACCTATATTACCAGATACAGCACCCAACATGTCTACAGAAAATTGTTCTCTACTGTCAGTTTCTACATACATGTGCTAGTCACTTTCCCATGATTTACCCCCAGGAGTCTAATCCCTTTCTTCCTGTCTTGTCACTTCTTCACAATTTATCAGTTTGTTGAAATGATACAAAGCCCCACGTCTAACCACCTCTTCTTTGCTTTGAAGCTCCCGTGGATGTAAAATACAAAACATAATATAAAATGTGTATGCCTTATCCTGATAATCTTTTTCCAGTTTCTTTCACAGGCCTCAGTTACAAACCTAACAGAGTAGAGGAAAAATTCTCCCCAATCCCTTGCCTAAAAAGCCCACAATGCACATATTGTGGATATCAGAAATAATTCTTGCTGCCTTGAGCCTTTGGCTGTCGTTACTGTAGCAAAACGCTTACAGATTCGTTGCCAACCACCAGGGTTGTGGCAAAAAGGATTCTGCTTTGGCAAGGGAAGTAGACTCTGCAACGTGAGGGCCTTCCAACACCAAGATTCCATGGCTCTGTGGAAATGATTCCAAAAATTGATATAGAATGTAGTTCAATTCTCCCTATATCTTATTCCACAAATACTGTCTTTAAGGTTTACGGTATTGTCTGTTGTGTTGGGTAGGCAGTGCCTTAGTAACTGATTTGCTTCTCCCTGAGCAGGAAGCTAATGCAGCAAGAAGCTGGTGTGGGCAGTTATATTCATGGTTCATGGTGGGGCTAATGTTTTGTGTGTTTACTTGAATTTTTTGTTAGTTTTTTTTTTTAATTCTGTGATTCTGTTTTCTGAAGTAAGCCCTCAGTCCAGAATTCCCCCACTGATGTAAAAGATACCCAAGTATCAGTCAGAGACTTTGGGGTGGGGGTAGAATCAGCAACAGGCACCTACCCCCTTCCCACTGCCTGCTGCACCAGGGGCTGAATGGCAGGCCCTGACCATGTATGTCAGTGAGGAGAGACAGCTGAAGACACACTCCAGCCCAGTGGGCTCTGGGAAAGTCAACTGTCTACACTCGCAGCCAGGCTGCTTATACCTGCATCCCACACACCCTGTGTGTGCTTAGCCAGTGCTGCTTAGCCTTCCGGGGTTCTGTTTCCCTGTCCACTCCTCCCCCTCCTCCACATAACCCCAGATTCAGTTTCCTCATCTGTTCAGTCTTACTCAGGACTAAGACTCCAGGCATCAGCAGCAACTGGCTAGACACTGATCAAAACCATCTGCTAAGGGATCAGTTTGGGTGCTCACGCCTATAATCCTAGCTAGTTAGAGGCAGAGATCAGGAGGATCATAGTTCAAGGCCAGCCCCAGGAAAAAGTTCTCAAGACTCCATTTCAACCAAAGATTGGGTGCTATGGTGCATACCTATTGTCCTGGCTACACCAGAAAGCACAGATAGGAGGATGTGGTACAGGCCAGCCTGGACATAAAAAATGATCCTATCTCAAAAATGGTCAACTGCAAGAAGGGCTGGTGGAGTGGCTCAAATGGTAGTGCACCTGCCTAGCAAGCATAAAGCCCTGAGTTCAAATCCCAGTACCAAGGAAACAAACAAGCCTGTTGATCTGTTGATCTTGTGCACACCTGGGGAGGCTGAGACAAGAGGATAGCAGGAATTCAAACCCAATCCACTACAAATCGAGCCCCATCTCAAAAAAACAACAAAAAAAAGCCACTTGCAAGCACTGGCAAGAACATCTGCTACTTCACAGGACACCCATCTCATCTCCTAACCCCCACTTCAGGCCCCAGGGGCTAGTATCCTCCTGCCTAAAACTGGATTCCCACCCCTCCTCCCTTCTACCCTAGAGGGCATGCTGAGATAACTGGAGAGACACCTGTCCCTGCTCCAGGTAACTCTTCTCCCTAAGGAGGCACCTGCCCTGCCTTCTGCCACCTGCCCACAGTGACTCCCTTCACTGTTAAGATTGAAGAGACACACAGAAGGATAAGTAGGAGGTGGCCCAACATCAGCACAGGCTTTATCCTGGAAAGAGAGCTTGCGGAGGGAGTCCCCAGCAAGAGAGCTAGAGCCCACTGCCACACACAGGCTTGAAGTAGATACAGGGGTCTGTTGGAAAAGTACCAAGAAAGTCACTACGGATGCTGTTGCTGAGCAACCAAGGAAGAAAATTTGTGGTTAGGTCATTGTCTGCTCAACTGTCCTTGGCGCCCAACCAGAGATAAAGGCAAACCACCTGTGAAGGGATTTGGTCTTAACATGGAGGTCTTACTGTCAATCCTAACATTCACCTCACCCCAACCAGGACTTCCATTCACCCACTCTCAGTGGGGCGTATGCCCTCTGCTGCAGTAAGCACTCCTACCCGGCCTTCTGCCCTGCAACCCTCCATACTAACTAGGCCCTAATTCCTTCCTACCCCTCACCCCTCACCCCTCACCCAGTAAGTTCCCTCACCCTCAGCAAACCCTTCTCAATCCTACACCCCTCTCCTATCTTGCCTCCCCTACAGCAAACCCAACCTTAGGCACAGAGGTCCCCTGCCGGCACCCCAGCTACTGCAATGCCTCGTCTGCCTTTTTCCACCAGACACCTAAGCTCTACAGCCTGCCCCCCTCCCACCCCCATCTCCAGTGCCCATCTCCTGCTCTACTCCCGCAAGCCCCACCCCTGGCCAGCGAGGCCCGCCTCTGTTCCCATCCCCCTCCCAAAGCCCCGCCCCCACCCCAATGATGCCAGAAAGACCCTGCGACTTCCCAACAGCCATCTGACCTCCCAACAGTCATCCTGCAACGGCTCCGCTGGTAAACCCAGCCTTTCTGGGTCTCAGGCGCGCAGGGCTCTGGCGCCTGGCGCAGTGTAAGGCCCCTCCCCTGTGAGTACTGTTTCGCTATGTTTAGATCAAGACCTCAGGTCCATCCCTGCCCTAGAACGCCCAGCCGTCCTGTCCCTGGGGAGGGTCACAGTGGGAGCCGTGGGCCCCTCTGACCTCATGAGTTCCCTGGGTGACCCCTCCTTGACAAAGGAATATTCCCAGCACTGTAGGTAACAAAAGTCCTGAGGACCTTCTCTGCCCCAGCCTGAGCAGACCCCTATGCCTACCCTGCCCCAGCTTCTCGCCAAGTGTCCCCCCAACTTAGGACTCTCACCGAGGACAGGGAGAGCTAATGCCAGGTGCTGTGCTGGCAGAAAGTGCTCATAAAATTAATGAGGCACCCAGTCAGAAACATCTGTGGAATCCAAAGATGCTGTGGCTTCAGGGATTGAGAAGAGGGGAGCAGCGGAAAGCACTTCAAGTTTAGACAGGAGATTCAAATCCATTCCCTAAATCAGTCCTAATAAGGACCCTGTGAAGTAGGAAGGGGAAGGCTGTGGGTCTCCACTGCAAGAGGTCACAAGTACAGTATTCAGACCCCAAGGGTTGTCCTGTGCATGCATGTCTGTGTGTGTACACGTGTGCCTGTGTGTCTTCCATGGCAGGTTTGTGCACATATATGTGTATCCATGTGGTGTATGTATGTTTACATATTTGCTTGTGGTGTGTTTGTGCATGTAAGTGTATGTGTGTTTTCTGTATACATACATTTTTAATGTGGACATGCATTTGTATGTGGCCTTTGTGAGTATGCACGTGTTTGTGTGCACGGACATGAGCACAGGTGTTGTGTACATGTGTGAACATTTGTGTGTGATGTTTGTATTTACATGTGCACGCACGTGTGTGCATGCAGCACTTGTTTTTGTGTGCATGTGTGTATATGCACACGCTTCTTTTCTGCACTGCACTTCGTTCATTAGTGGAAAAGATCTCTGTTCTTCCTAAATTTCTTGTTTCCTGTTAGTACCAGAGTTTTATTAAAGAAAATACTATTCTGACACTTGTTAAAAGACTTTATTCTAGCCTCTAGGAGTGTCACCTTAGGGGAGAGATGGGCTCCACTCAGAGCAGCAAGATGGACTTTAGGTCAGGAGTCAGGGGATGGAAAAGGAAACTTCTTGGGTAGGCAGCTTTTAACTAAACTGATCTCACAGGGAACTCCTGCCCAAAAGGCAGGTCAAAGGCTCAGACCTCAAGAATGTATGAGGACTTGACCAGGTGTCTGTGTGGGGGCAACTCAGCAGTATTCTCTGCAAAGATGGCTGGGCAGGCTGAAGACAGGATGGGACCAAGTCTAGACTCAGTGGACAGGAGTTGGAGGAGCCTATCTAGTATTTGGTCAAAGAGGGTCTATGAAGTTTCCAAGAGGCATTTTTGCTGTTATTAACAAGGCTAAAAATGACAGCTGTGGACCCTCCCTAGTTGAACACCAGCTTTTGTCCTCATCTGTAACCCTACACAGTAGGTAGCTGGGGAGCCTGCCAACACACCAGTACTAAGACCCAGCCACTCCCTAAGAGTTACAGTGGAAACCCTCACCTTGAATCTGCCCAGGAGCCATGGATGCCCTGGAACTTGCCGGAAAGCTACAAGAGGAGGCCACATGCTCCATCTGTCTGGACTACTTTTCGGACCCTGTGATGACCACCTGTGGCCACAACTTCTGCCGGGAGTGCATCCAGATGACCTGGGAGCAGGCGAAAGGCAAGAAGGGGAAGAAGAAGCAAAAGGGGTCCTTCCCCTGCCCCGAGTGCAGGGAAATGTCTCCCCAGAAGAACCTGCGGCCCAACCGCCTGCTGACCAAGGTGGCTGAAATGGCACGCCAGCACCCCGGGCTGCAGAAGCAGGACCTGTGCCAGGTGCACCAGGAGCCCCTCAAACTGTTCTGCGAGGAGGACCAGAACCCCATCTGTGTCGTCTGCAGGGAGTCCCGGGAGCACCGGTTGCACAAGGTGTTACCTGTGGACGAGGCTGTACAGGAGTACAAGGTGGCTAGTGGGACCCAGGACAGGGGGTGTCCAGGGGAAGGGGCCCATGTCAACATGGGGGAGGGAACAAGGGGCCCAAATCAGAGAATGAGGAGGAGCATCCAGGGGATAAGGGGCCCAGGTTAGTACTGGGGAGGAGACTTCCAGGAGCCAGACTGGTGAGGTGCCCAGGAATGGGAGTGTTTGTGGGTTGGGGGTTAAACAAGGCAGGGCTAAGGAGCAGCACAAATCACCTCACAGGCAGGACCACACAGTGGAAGTGTCCTCTTGCTCCCAGGACAAAACAAATGGGTGACCTGGCCTGCAAGGTCTGGACCAACAGTGATAAGAGTCAACAAATGCTCTATCACTGGTCACCTCACTGGCTCCAATTCCAAGGCCCTTGGCCTGATGTGTCCACCCTAGTGAGCCGGCATGAGTGACCGGAGTGTCTTATCATCAGCCTCCACTTCCTGACCTAGGCTGTCCGTGTGGCCTGGCCCTACCACAAATGCACTTAGGCACTGCACAGGAGAAAGCAGGCCTGAGTTGCTGGTAAGCTGGGCCCTAGAGACAGAGCAATACCACCATCATCTTCATACCTTCCCCAGTAAAAGGCCTAGAATCACAAGAGTACACAGGTTCTGGAATCGGTCCCTCTAGACTCCAAGGGACAACTACCCTAAAATGTGGACCAAAAGGAGGAAACTGAAAAGTCACAAGTAAAGGGGCTTGCACTTGGGTGGTTATGGAGTGGAAAAGTGACCAGGAGGAAAAGGGTTCATTTAACAAGATTTGTCTGTATAGATTTCTCTCAATGTCCACCTCCTGTCCTTGGTGATGAGGGCAGTTACTTTTCTCCTGGGACCTAGAGGACATTTTCCCTCTTTTCCCTCCTGCTTTTAGGAACAAAAAAGGACTCTTGAAACTGCACTATTTTTTTTAAGTGCTTTTAGCTCAAAATAATTCTTATGCCAAAGTAGTACATTTTGGGTTGTTTTGTTTTGAAGTGCTTCATTGCCAAAGTGGCCTGTTTAGGGGTGATGATCTGATTTCCTGTGCTTGAGGGCCTGTGGGATCAATGCAGCTTCAGAGACCACAATCCAGATTTGGGCGGGAAGGAGGTTATCCAGTGACCCAAATCCTGTGGTTCTGTACATCCCACAGTTGAAGATGGAGGAGGACATGCAGTACCTTCGAGAAGAGGTGACAAAAACAGAGACACTAAAAGTCAAGGAGGAACAGACCTTAACCGAGTGGCAGGTGGGTAACCAAGGCTATTGGGGCCCTAAGAGGCTCTTCCCATCCCTGCCTCCAGTGGCTTCCAAGCAGGGAAGAAAAACACTTGTTCTTCCTCTCCAATGTCCGTGGCTGGCCTAAGAACTAAACTAAGGTCAACAGGAGGGGAAAAGATGATTTTTTTAGTTAAACACACATGAGTGGGAAGGAAAGACCTCACACAAAAATGAAACTCAGGCAGTAGAGCCTTCTTGACCATTTGAGGCTTGTCAGAAGATGAAATTACAACACATTTAATTTAAAGATTTTTTTTTGAGACAGGGTTTCAGTATATTATCTAGGCTGGCCTTGAACTACTGAGCTCAATGGTCTTCCTGCTTCAGCCTCCAGAGTAGCTGGGACTATAACTGTGAACCTCTGTACCCAGCTAGTTAGTTCAAACATCTTTTTTTTTTTTTCGACACTGGGGCTTGAACCCAGGACCTTATGTTTGCTAGGTAGGTGTTCTTACCACTTGAGCTTCTCTGCCAGTCCTTTTTTGTAATTTTTTTTCAAGATAGAGTCTCTTGAACTATTTGCCTGGGGCTGGCTTCAAACCTCAATCCTCCTGTCTCTGCTTCCTGAGTAGCTAGGATTACAGGCATGAGCCACTGGTGCCTGGCCTGGTTCAAACATCTTAATTGGTTTTATTTTGGATTCTAGAACCAAGCAATACTTCATAAAATAGGATATGCATGGGCTAAGCAGAGGTTGGTTTTAAAGACAGAAAAATGCTAACAAAAGCACAAAAATGGATTTTGTTGTTTCAAAGTTACCTTCCTTATAATAAGACAGGGACAGGGAGACAGAACAGTAGGAAAAAAACTGATTGGTTAACACCAGGTTATCTTGGGTTATTTTTGTGTAAGGATTAATTTCATGATCCTGTTGATCATGGTCTGTTTGGGAAATTTGGTTATTATCTCTGTAATCCTGGTTTCTCAGGAGTTCCGGTCAACAGCTTTGGTGACATGGGTGATATCACTCTGACTTATAGCCTGGTCTTTTGGGGCCCAGTGCAGGAGGCTGGTCACAGACACCATCCTCTCATACTTTTATATTGCATGCCTGCCTAAGTGGCCTACTTTGGGGTGGTATGTTTTGTGCCCATCAGTGCCAGGGCACACCAACGTTTGGGTAGTGTATCGAAGCCCCTGGTTCCCAACTAAAGAACTTGGCTGGAGTTCTGTGGATTACCAGGGGCCCAAGGGAGACGCATAGTGTCCTAGCACAGAGCTGTCCCTCCTAGAGCCATATTTCACGGCCAGCCAGGTGAGGGTCCCTGCCTCCGCAGGACAGAGTGAAGGAACGGAGAGAGCGCATCCTGGTGGAGTTCCAGAAGGTGGTCCTCTTCCTGGTGGAGGAAGAGCGGAGGCTCCTCCAGGCCCTGAAGAAGGAGGAAGAGGAAACAGTGGCGAGGCTGCAGGTCAGCAAGGCCTCCCTGGACCAACAGAGCCACTCCCTGCACTTGCTGCTCCTGCAACTGGAGGACAAGAGCCAGGAGGAGCCCCTCCAGATGCTGCAGGTGAGGCCAACAGATGTGGCAGCAGGTGAGGGCAACATTGAATGTCCTCAGAACTGTGCACCAGCCACCCAGTACAACACACCTGTTTAAATTACTGTGGTATGGAGGTGTGGCATAAAGGTATGAGCTCAGGCCCAGGTGCAGCCCAACAGAAGGGTTCTATGGTAGCCTGGGCTGCTGTAACATAGTACAGGTGAAGTGTCCCTTAACTGAATGCTCGGGACCAGATATGATTCAGGGGTTAGGTTATCTAATCTTGGGGTTAGGTTAAACCCTAAGATCTCCCAGTGGGAGTGAGAAAAAGATTCTGGGGAGATGACAGAGCTCGATTTCTGGGAAGGGTATGTCTGACAAAGGACCTACTTTGGTCTGTACCTAAGAAGTGGATAACAGAGCTGGTTTTGAGGTGGGGCCAGCTGAGAGCTCAGCTCTCCCTTCCTGTTGTTTCAGGATGTGAAGGACACGTTGGCCAGGTATGTAATCACCCTCAGTGGAGGCAATGGCAGAGGTAAGTGAGAAAGGGCTGAATATAAGGCTAGAGGGGACATGAGTCTGTGTTTACTAAAGGAAGAACAGCTTAAGCGTGCAGTACCCAGAGGTGGCCCTCCCCACGGTGCTCAGAACTGTGTGCAGAGTTCCTGGACAGATAGTGGTGCTCAAAGGTTTCCAAGGTAAGTGGGGAACCAGAGCCTAGACCATGGTCATAATTGCCTCAGCAATGCCCCACCCTACCTCCAGTGCCTCTCAGGAAAACTAGAACTACCCACAGGGGTGAGGTGGGGGATATGTCTTAAACTGCACTGCCCAATTAATTACTGGGTAGTCCGCCTGCTGCATGGCTTGGCTTATTCCTAGTTTTGTCCATCTACTAAATTAAGCTTATTGTCTGACCTGTTTACCCTCATTTACTCACTATCAAATGGCATAAAGCCATTAGGTAACCCCTGATTCGCAACTGTACTCAGGGAGAGAAGGCCTTTGGGAGGTAGGGAGAAGAGGGGGACATTTGGACACTATCTGCTCCAGGACTACTAGGGCTCTGGTTCTCCCACCTCTGACCACTTTTCTCTCTGGTCTGTTTGCAGAAGAAGTAGTGCCGGACCCCACTTCAGCCTACCCCTACCTTCTTCTGTACGAGAGCCGCCAGAGGCGCTACCTGAGCTCCATGCCAGAGAGCAGCACACCCCACAGCAAGGATCGCTTTCTGGCCTACCCCTGTGCTGTGGGCCAGAAGAGCTTTTCCTCTGGCAGGCATTACTGGGAAGTGGGCATGAACCTTACTGGGGATGCACTGTGGGCCCTGGGTGTGTGCAGAGACAATGTGAGCCGGAAGGACAGGGTGCCCAAGTTGCCTGAAAATGGGTTCTGGGTGGTGCAGCTGTCCAAGGGGAAGAAGCACTTATCCCTGATGTCTGCCTCCTCCCCTGTCACACTGATGGACCCTCCCAGTTACGTGGGAGTCTTCCTGGATTTCCAGGCTGGAGAATTGTCCTTCTACAGCGTGAATGACGGATCTCACTTGCACACCTATTCCCAGGCCACTTTCCCCCGGCCCCTGCAGCCCTTCTTCTGCCTGGGGGCTCCGAAATCAGGCCAGATGGTCATCTCCACGGTGACCATGTGGGTGAAGGGATAGAGGCCTAGGCGTGGGGTGTGGGGGGTAGAGATGCTGTAAGTGCCCTGGACTCTCCCAAAGGCAGGACCTTTGATCACCATGGCCACCTGCCAAGCTTCTCCCTATGGCGCTGAGAGCCATCCCTACACATGATTAGTCAAATGTTGAGAGACTATATTGACAGATGCTTCATACATGTAACTTTGCAAAGAGCCTCAACATTTCCGAGTGGACCGATTTCTAAATACCCTAACATCAGGCACAGTGTGGTCTCCTTGTTTTTGGTTTCTTTTTGTTCAGCCTTGCTTCCTGCCCCGCCCCACCCCCAGCATTGCAATGTGCTAATTCACTGGCCCCTGGCTTTCCCTTGTGCCCTCCTCTGGTTACTGGGTCTTTCACTGAGTAAAGACCCCACCCCTTCTGATCCCGTTAAGTTGCTCACAACAAAATCCAAAGACAGTAAGGTAATTTGGGCGGGGAGGTCGCCTCTCCATCCTCCAGCACCCTTTCCTAACACTCCCTAAGACCCCTCACCCTCAGCCCTATAAGTCACTAGCACCCCAAAATGCACATTAAATGTACTCTTTCCTCGAGCGAGAGGGTGCTCTTGAACAACGCATGCCTCCAATGTGATTCCCACTTGAGGATCTGGGCCCGTGGAGCGTCACCCCAGACTCATTTCCCATTTCCAATCACTCCGACAGATGACCCCGTCCCGGAAGTGACGTACAGCACTTGAGAGGGCTGAGGACACTGGTCCTGGGTTCGCGGGCAGGGGGTGAGGACCTAAGGGTGAGAGCGCACAGGAAAACTGCTAGAGTTCCCTCACCCAGAGTTTCCGCGTCCTTCAGTGTGCAGAAAGCCCGCTCCCTGCGCCTCCACATTCCTCTGCACATCATCCCTCCCTCGGGCAGGGGGTGAGGTAGAACCAGGTGACAACTGGAGTGCGCGCGGCACGATGTGGAGGTGGGACGTGGAGGAGGGTAGCAGCGACGACGTCAGACCACTGCCAAGAACTTCTCCAATTTTGTCCCGCCCTCGGGCCGCGTGACAGGCTGCGGCCAATCTGATGCAGAAAAAGAAAAAAGCCGCTTCCGGCTTCCGCTACAGCTCCTCTTCCTGCGGGCGCCCGGGAGCTCTGCGACTCTGGTGTACCCGGAGTCCCAAGGAGGACTTGAGTCCCATACCCCTGGAATTTGCACCATCCTGCACCACCGCACCCGAAGCCCTGCGCTTGCAGCCCCCTGAGGATCTGGAGTCCCGCGTCCCCTCGGCAGTGGCGGAAGCCTCCACAGTCCAGGCTGCCTGACTGGGTGGAGAGCCTCGCCTTCCTCCGCTCCGCCCGCGCCATGGCTGCCCCCGACCTGTCCACCAACCTCCAGGAAGAAGCCACCTGCGCCATCTGCCTAGACTATTTTACGGACCCGGTGATGACCGACTGCGGACACAACTTCTGTCGCGAATGCATCCGGCGCTGCTGGGGCCAGCCTGAGGGCCCTTATGCGTGCCCTGAGTGTCGCGAGCTGTCCCCGCAGAGGAACCTGAGACCCAACCGTCCGCTCGCCAAGATGGCTGAGATGGCTCGGCGCCTGCACCCGCCATCGCCAGTCCCTCAGGGCGTGTGCGCAGCGCACCGCGAGCCACTGGCTTCCTTTTGCGGCGACGAGCTGCGCCTGCTGTGTGCCTCCTGCGAGCGCTCGGGGGAGCACTGGGCGCACCGTGTACGCCCGCTGCAGGACGCGGCTGACGACCTCAAGGTGCGTCCCAGAGACCTAGAGCAACCTGTCCCGGGCAGGGCCGCGGTCTACTCCTGGGCAGAGAAGCTCCGGACGTAGCCAATCCCGGCCTGCTGTAGGGGGAGTTAGGGCGCTGCTAGTCTTGTCCGCCTGGGATGGGGGGCCTTGGGTCGCATCCTGTCCTGAGAGGGTACGCAGGGTAGCCAGGGAAGCTAGGGACTGGGGACGCAGTCAGTCCTGGCTGGGATGGAGGTCGCAGCCTGTCTTGGCGGGGGTTGGGGAAACAAGGTCACCCGAGGACTGGGGGCGTGGCAGGCTGACAGGGGGAGTGGGAGACACTGCCGAAAGTAGGGGTGGCACGCAGGGTCGCCAGAGGGCTGGAGAGCTCGGAGCACAGCCCATCGTAGGCTTAGGAGGGGTTGAGGCCTATTGTGTCCCAGGCAGGGTGGATTGTAGAGCTCCTTCTGGTTAAGGAACTCAGGATACCTTCTGTCCTTGGCCTCTTCGGTAAGCGTGGGGTAGCGCAAGGTTGCTGGTGGGCTGAGGAAACCACCTGTCCCAGGCCAATCCCTTTGTGAGACTGGGACAGTGGGGGCCAGTCTGGGTGGTGGGGGGAGGAAGAATGTTTGTGGAAGGTGAAACCAAGCAGTGAAGCTGGCAGGGCTCTTTGGGATGTTGTAATGGCCACTGGCTAGAAAGGAGTCTGGAGCAAGGAAAGCAAGCAGAAAGAGGAGGTCCAGGCAGCTGTTCCTAGATGGACCTTCTGTCTGTGCCATGGAGCATTGTGGGTAACAGAGATCTGCCTTGTGCCCAGTACTGAAGTCCTTGGGAAGCCAAAGCAGAGCCCCAGGCTGGGAACAGTGACGGGACACAGTCATTGCTTCCAGTGCTGATAAACTGGAAAGTGACTAGGATATATAGGAGGGGGGCTAATATCAAGGGAGGTCATTTCTGTCTTGGGTAATTAATGTCCTGCATTAGGCAGTTAGCTCTTCGGCACCTGCTTTTACTTGGTTGCCTCCAGCTTCAAAAAATCCAAATGGGCATATTTAGAGATGGGGGATTCTGTCCCTTTTTATTATGAAAGTGCCTACTTTATGTCAATACTGACAAATGCCCTAACAAATTGCTTTTACCTGCCACCAGTGGGTCTAGAAAGCGCAAGTCTGCCAGTGGAACCCATTCTTCTACTCACAGGGCAGGGGATGTGGTTACCCAGGCTGTGCTGGACCCCATGGGGAGATGGGCCCATGGGTCAGTGACAAACACATTCCTTGCCTGGTTGTCACCCTGGGGTCATGAATGAGCCATACCCAATCCCAGATTCTCTGGATTGTGTGTCAGGCAGAATCAGGGAAATTCAAGAAAGGTTAGCATAGGATTAAGATGAAGAGCAGGGCAGGAAAGAACCTAGACCCATCCCAAGGCCCCAAGATCCAAACTCCCAACCACACCCAGCATAGAAAGGCTTCATTGTGTCCTAAAGTGGTAGAGAGATGCAGGCAACCAAAACTTGAGGTCCTCACCAGAGCAGATATGTCCTGGCACTTCTTGTTCATTATTTATGCTGTTTTCGGTTCTCAAAAATGAAAACTGGAAAGTGCTGTGGAGAGACTGAGGCAGAAGTTGGAAGCTCTCAGCTGAGGATGTGTATGATGGGATCCAGGAAACAGGTATTCAGGCCCTAGGAAGCTGGAGCATCAAGAATAGGGGCCTCGTGACAGTGACCCTGGTCTGGAGCTCCAGCTATAGCCTACATGAGTGCTGAGCCCAAAGAGGTTGAAAGGAGCCGGACACATCCTTGCTGCTCTCAATATCCTGGCCAGTCAGTCTCTATCCATCATGAAGCAGGGTCCTAGCCTTGCCGCCTGGACAGATTTCTAGAACCTCCTGGCACCTTGGTCCATCTAAAACACAGATGGAGATAGTAGTCAAGCCAGGGACACTGAGAAGAGGTATGGCCGGCACAGGGTGCGTAACTGATAAATATGTGGGGTTGAAATAAACAGACCCATATGGGAGACCCAAGCATAAGGTTACCAAGTCACCTGTTGATAGAACTGTCACTGTGTGGTACATCGGACTGAGAAAAAGTGGAAATATGAAATTAGAACAAGGAAGAATAATACAATTATGTCCTCCCAGGGTGCCTTATGTTGGAACTGAAAATGCAGCAAGATATTGAGGGGCTTGGAGAAAAGGTGAGGCGGGAAGTCAGGAAGTCACCCTCGTCTGTGGGTGGCCATAACACATACTCTAGCCTGTCTTAAATCACACACATCTATTGCTTGCAGTCCTGGAGTTGAAGTCCCAGGTCAAGGCATGGCAGATTCTATATCTGGTGAAGGCTGCTACCAGGTTCATAGAGGATTAGTGCCCTTCTTCTGTCCTCAGGTGGAGGAAGGGGCAGGAGTTCCCTGGGTCCCTTTTATATAAGGGCACTAATCCTGTTCATGAGGCTCCACCCTCACAAGCTCATTAAGTACCACTCTCTAACACCATCATCTAGGGGGTTAGGTATTCAACTCAGGGGTATTGGGGGATGAACATTCAGGTCATAGCATCTGACTTGGTGAACCAACAGGTTGGAAAAGAGAAGGATTGAGTGGCTTGTAGAAAAAAGAGCTGAACACCTTCAGAGCCAGCTTAGTGGGAGGGAAGAGGTCACTGTGTCCTGTTGAGTGACTCTGGACATGTAGGGTGGCCAAGGAACAAGCTGGTAGCTTTGCAAAGGTAAGCAGGGCTAAGGGTAGGGCAGCAGGGTTGATAATTGGAAATATATGCCCGTGAGAGAAAAAGGAAAAGGCTCCGCTGTGATCCTTGATGAGTAGTGGGAAAGAGGTTGGGGTTTCAGCCATGGAGACAAGGACGGGGCTGCTGCCCTCTGCAAGAGTGTACACCTGTTGGAGGGCATCGTATTCTCCCATTCTTTTTTTAGCCTGTCCAATGGGGAAGAACTCAGGGCAGACGTCAGGAATTGAAAATCAGACTTCTGAAAGGTCCCAGTGCTGGGTGAGGGTCTAATGGCTCTTCCTGGTCTCTGTCCCAGGGGAGGCTGGAGAAGTCACTGGAGCACCTGCGGAAACAAATGGAGGATGCACTGCTGTTCCAAGCCCAGGCTGAGGAGACCTGTGCCTTGTGGCAGGCAGGTGCCAGGCAGAGGGGGTCCTGGGCAGTGGGGGCTACAGGAGGACAGCAGCCATCACTGCTCCAGACTGGCCTCACTGAGACCCCCTGAGGTCAGGCCAGGATGGGTGAGGAAGGGAGGACTGCGTGTGAGTGTGTCTAAGAAAGAGACGAATGGCACACATGTTGGGAGAGGTGTCTTGACCTCGGGCACTCATCCTGTGGTCCTGGCATGCTTGGGGTGATAGATTTGGGAGTGGAAGAGGGACCAGGCAGGAGGGGCCTCATGGATGTATTTGGAGATCAGGGAGAGACCAGGTGTGAGAGGGCCCTATGTGGGTTTCTGGGCTACCTGACCTCTGGTGGTAGATCGGGGCCTGAGTGGCAGATTTTGAGTCTGGGCAGCCACTAGTAGTGAATTTGGAGTCTAGGTGGCCCCAGGTCTAGATTTGTTGCCTAAGTAGCACCAAGGGGTAAGTTTGGGGTCTGGGCAGCCCCAAGTTGTGGGTCTAGGGATCTTGTTCCAATTCTGGCCTCAACTATTGCTCTTGCACCTCGCAGAAGATGGTAGAGAGTCAGAGGCAGAATGTGCTGGGTGAGTTCGAGCGACTGCGTCGTCTGCTGGCCGAGGAAGAGCAGAAGCTGCTGCAGAAGCTAGAGGAGGAAGAGCTAGAGGTGCTGCCCCGGCTGCGTGAGAGTGCCACAAGACTTGGCCAGCAGAGCGCCCAACTAGCTGCACTCATTGCTGAACTTGAAGGCCGCTGCCAACTGCCAGCGCTGGGGCTGCTGCAGGTGAGCAGATGGGCAAGGTGTCCTTGTCGCCACAGGGTATACATCCCCACTGCTGGACACACTGCTTACGCTCTCAGATATGCTTGTTGTGCTTTCCCCACTGCAGGGCTGCCCCAGGACACGAGGCTACTCCAAGACATGCAGCATGGCCCCTGCTGCCAAACATATGCAGGTTCCCATGTTCACACTGCCCACCCTGGTGGCCACACTACATTCCCCACTGCCACCCTCCCTACTGCTCACTGGATATGCCACACAACACACCCCACCAGTCACAATGGGCTGGAGACAAATGGATCATACATGGGATGGAGAATGAGAAAATGCAAGAAGCACTGGGCAGAGGTTGTTCAGAAGCTACATGTCTGCAAGGGCCTGTCCTGTCCATCTCACCTGTAAAATGTCAGCAGGGCTAAGACAAGTACCTGGTAGTCTACCACCCAAAACCTGGTGAGAAGAAAAGAAAAGGAGGTGTTCTTCCCTATACCTAAACATGGCTTTTCTTAAGTATGGTTGTCCTTTGGTGTCCGTGGGAGATAGATTCTAGGACCATGAAGATACCAAAATGCAGGAATGCTCAAGTGCTTTATAAATAGTGTAGTATTTGCTGATCTCCTATGCATATCCTTCCATATACCTTCAGACAGCTTTAGGTGACTTGTGATACCTAATACAGTGTAAATGCTATGTAAATAGTTGCTGTACTGTGTTGGTTTGAGAATAATGAAAAGAAAAAAATGCCTGTACATGTTCAGTACAGACATCTTTTTTTAAAAAAAATACTTTGAATCCTCAGTTGAATCTCACAACCTGAGGACATTGTACTTATGAAGGTTACAGCATTCATCTTCCCATTTTCTCAGGCTAACCAGGGTTGCCGTTCTGTGTGGACACAGTATAGTGGATATTTGTTTGGCATGCCTGATCTGGGGGTGGCATGTGATATTTTTCAGCTGTGGGGGACCCTCCTGCCCTTGTCCCACTTTGTGGCTGCATTGGATCACCCACCCTCAGCTGGAACCCCAAGAGGTCCCTCTTAGGAATCCTGCCTCCACTCTTGTGTTCTCAGCCTTGGGCCCATACTCTGCTGTGTCCTCACCCCTTGGACATCTGAGTGTCTTCATTGTAGAGCGTCCTCTTAGTCCATTTTCGATTGCTATAACAACTGAGGTTGGGTAATTTATAAAGAAAAGAGGTTTATTTCAGTTCATGGTCGGACCAGGAGTCTTAAGGTCAAGGTCAAGGGGCTACATCTGGCAGGGACTCTGCAGATCCCTCACGATCTGATCACCTTACTACCACACAGGAGGGATTAAATCTGGTGTGCTTTTGGGGACATTCAGACCACAAATGCACACCAGATTGTGTGAGAACAGGGGGGCTTGTTCTCCCGTGCTTTTGGGAGAATTCTCCAGCTGTGGACTCTAGCCCTACAAAGCCAGCTTTTCTCTGACTTTGTGCCCCTAAAGCAATAACACTTGGCATCCTTCCCCTCTGGACTCAATGGCACGTCAGGTGAAGAAGAAAATGGCTTTCGGCCCATAGGCTCCATGCTTCAGTCTCTACCTATCAAGTGGGCACTGATGAGAATAAGGGGGTAATTGTACTGAGAGGCCCTATTCAGGCTGCAGTGTCTGCTATAGCACTTCCTTGGGGCTCAGCTGGATTTTTTGCCCCACAGATATTATGAAACTTGCCTCTATGCCTGGCATGGTGTAGGAAACTGTATGTGATTGCTAGGCCTAGAGCCCAGAGAGCAGCCATCTGCACTCAAACAGATGTTTCAGGGACCCGGAAGAGATCCTAGAACTTTCAGCTTAACCCTTGACCTTTCCTGAGCTGTCAAGACAGTTGGAGCTTGGGAAACTTGAGTGGCTCCCTGAGCCTCTGGAGGGAGGAATTGAGGAGGCATAGAGGAATGAAGACAGTCATGTGTTAGTAAAGTGGGGCTCTGGTGTTCAGGAAGTGAGGAGAAGCCCCAGGGAGGACAAACAGGCTGAGATGTTAGGAATGTGGGAAGGGTTTTGTGTTTTAAATTTTTTCGTTGTTTATGGGGTCAGTGTGATGCTTTAGTATGTGTGCATATTTTGTGCATTGATTAAATCAGGGTTGTTAATCATCTAATCCATTTGTCATTTCTTTGTAGTGAGTTCATTCAAAAACCTCTCTTTGAGATAATTTAATTCTTTTGGGGGTGGGAGGAGGTAGTACTAGGCATTAATTCAGGGCCTTGTGATTACTAGGCAAGTGGTCTATCACTTGAGCCCCTCTTCCAGTCTTTTAGCCTTTTTAGGTTTTTGTTGCTGTTTTCCCAGATAGAGTCTCATACTTTTATCTGGACTAGCCAAGTACCTCCTACCTTGGCCTCCTGAGTAGCTGAGATTATGAGTATATACCACCATATTCAGCTTGCTTGTTCTTTAGATAGGCTCTCACTAATTTTTGCATAGGCTGGTCTTAAACCATCATTCTGTCTCTGCCTCCTGAGTAGTTGGAATTACAGGTATGTACCATCATACCCTGATTTTTTTTTTTTTCTCGGTGGTACTGGGGCTTGAACTTCAGGGCTTCACACTTGCTAGGTACATGCTCTACCGCTTGAGCCACTCCTCCAGCCCTAAAATTTTTAATACTAATACAACATTGTTAACCACAATATAAGCTATTATCTTACAGCTCACCCTTCTGAGCTATAAGACACCAAAATGCCAGGAATGTTTTAGGAAAAAGTGATAATCTGGAAATGGGGGCACATAGGGGTCTATGTGAAGACAAGATTTGAGTCACAGCTAAGTCATTGAGTAGGAAGGGAGTGTGGCTTCAACTGTCTGCCCTACTTCCACTTGCTATCCCACCAATATGTATCCACTACGCCTCCCTCACCAGTGCCCCCTCCTACTTGCTGCACCCATCCCTGCCTGCTACACCCTCTTCTACCTATTCTCCCACCTGTGTCCCCCCTCCCCAACCAAGACCTGCAACACCCTCTTCCACCTGTTCCCCCTTTCCCACTTGCTCCTCTCTCCTTTACTACCTCTCAGCCCCCTCCTCCTGGCCCTTTTTGTCCCCTTGTCCATCTTTGGTCCACCTGGTAGACTGCTGGGAGGGCCCTGCCCCCCCCCTCCCGCCTGCCTGCCTGGAGCTGCCCTAGCTCACTTGCTGAAGGCAGGAGCATAGCCTTGCAGCACTGTCCCTGTGAGCTGTGTGCTGATGTGAGGGAGGGAAGCAGGGGTAGATTTGTGCCTTTGGCACCAGGTCAGTAGGAGGTCTGCAATCTGGTTCCTGACACCCAGGGACACGTGGCACTCAATAGAGGTGAGAGCTTGGGGACATTCAGGAATCTATACAGTTCCTGGCAGCCCCTTCCAGGTCTGTTGGTGGCATAGTGATTTTCCTAAATGGACATGTCCAAGTTGCCACCTGCCCTGGAGTGACTGTGGTCTACAATGAGGGCAAATCCTTCCCTGGAAGCTGAGGCTCTCATCTCATTCCAACAGGGAAGACCCTCTTTAGCCACCTGCCCAGGCTGCATGACCACCAACACAACTATTTCCAAATGAGCAGGGGGACAGATGTTTCACCTACCCCCAGTGAAACAACAAAGGACAGGTTTCTAGCTGCTTTGCACACACCAGGTTCCAAGTGCCCCCAGCACTTTGCACATACCAGTGAATTCACCTCAGGTTTTCAGAACCCTCCTGTAAGTCTCTATCTCTTTGAGTCCTATGTGACCTGTTTCCCCCTAGAGAGAATTGATAACTTGTATGTGAAAATCTTTTGCTGTTTCTCCCACCTGCAAGGAACCCCATGACAGAGACTATATCTTAACTTATCTCTGCATCCTGACCTGGTAGCAGTGCATAGTGCAGTACAATGAATATAGAGTGTGGGCTTCATTCATTTCACAGTGTGGGTTGGATCCCTGCCATGCATTGAGTACTGTTCTAAAAAGACCAGGCTTCCCAAGAGCTGCCTTCCCCATTACTAGGTTTATCTGTCAGCTCGTCTGCTATATGAGGTACCACAGACTGGATGCCTTAAACAACAAATAAGTTCAGGATCAGTGTGTCAGCAGGGTTGTTGTGCTAATTTATTTTCTGTTGCTATAAAATTCCTGAGGATGTATACTTTATAAATAAAAGCAATATGTTTAGGATGCTGAAATACCAAACAGCATGTTCCAGCTCTGGTGGTGGTTCCCTTGGCTATATCACCTCACAATGTAAGGGCATGAAAGAGGTAGTGATCACATGATGAGACAGAGAAGGACCAGCTCACTCTTTTATGACAACTCTCTTGTGCGAACCAACCAGGCCCCATGAGAATTAAATACATTATTTCCTTCTAAGAGTAAGAACTTCAATAACTTCCTTCTAGACCCCACATGTTAAAGGTCACACCACCTCTTAACATTCCCACACTGAGACCAGGGTTCAGAACACATGAACTCTTGGAGGACATTCACCATAGCAATTCATGTATCCAGAGGCCTCTTTCTTTGGTTTGTAGATGGCCATCTTCCTATGTCCTCACATGGTCATCCCATTGTGTCTGTGTCCTCTTACAGCACACCAGTCCTGTTGGGTTGGGCCCACCCCAAATGTACAGTCACATTCTGAGGGTTAGGACTTCAGCATAAGGATTTGGGGAGGGAAGAACACAGTTTGGCTCCAGACTCTGAATTAAGATGCTGTCACAGTTAGGAACTAGAGAAAAGGTTAGTTCGAGAAGAATCAATTTAGAAAGTAACACATATATGTACATGGAAGCAATATTAGGAACCTCCCTATATAACTATCCTCACCTCAACTAGCAAAAACCCCTGGTCCTCCTTATTAATGTTTATACTCTGTCTTCAACAAAATTAAAGATAAGGGCAAAATAGTTTTCACTTGGAAGCGAGGGGTAGGGGGAAAGGGAGGGGACGTGGGGAAGGGGGGAGTAATGACCCAGTCATTGTATGCACATATGAATAAATGAAATAAAAAAAAATAAAAAGATGCTGTCACAGATCAGATGGTGCAACACAAGAAGGCAAAACATCCAGGCATGGGGCTGAGCCAGGGTACCTGCAGGGCAGGCAATGGAAGCAAGAGGAAGCTCTTTGGCCACAAGGCAGGGCTGGTGTCACAGAGGCACCCTTACAAAGCACCACCCCATTCCTGGAGGCCAGGACATGTGGCTGACTTGTCCCTGGCATTACAGGGATCCAGTTGAGACTGAATGGGGGAGTAGCTGGTAGCTGAATACTCTGTGTTCTCTGAGTGAGAGCAGGTATTAGGGCCTGACCTACATGGCTGGGCCACACCCTAACTCAGTACTGTTGCCCCACGCTCCAGGCCTTTGTTCATTCACAAGATGGGTTTCTCATCTTACCTGTATATTGCTGCCTAGAGCTCAAATGGCCCAGATAGAGGGACAGATTAAGGTTCTAGGGGGTGGAGAGGAGCCCTCAAGATCAGATGACAGATGCTGGTACTGAGTATGTATATTTTTTTCCCTCTTACAGGACATTAAGGACTCCCTGCGCAGGTATGAGCCTTTGACCTCTCCCAGGGCAGGTGGGCAGGATGTGGGTGGGGCCAGCTGCCAGCCATGATGGTGAAGCTGGGCCATCCCCTGCAGGGTTCAGGACGTGAAGCTGCAACCTCCAGAGGTGGTACCTATGGAGCTGAGGACCGTGTGCAGGGTCCCAGGGCTGGTGGAGACCCTGCAGAGGTTTCGAGGTAGGTATGGAGTCCTCAAGTGACTGGATTGCCCTGGGAGGGGAGTCACCAAGAATCCCAGGCAGCCAGTAGTATCATGTTCCGTGCCCTAGGGCACCAGGTCAGGACAGTGGGTTCTTGGGAAAGTGTTCTCTACTCATATGTGACACCAGTTGTTTGGGCATTTTCCAAATTAAGCAGTTACCAATTTTGTAAACTCCATCAGACATCTAGTGATTCAGTTCAGTTCCAGTGCTATCTCCCTAAAGGTATCAGACCTCCACAGGCTAAGGGCTCAGCCCCATGAGACTCCTCCCCTTCCCCCTTCAGAGACCTGGGGGCCACCTGCACTTCTGTTGCACCTGTTATAAATTTTGTGAGTTACTCTAGCAAATCATTCATGTTAGATAATTTGGTAGGGTGGCTTACAAAATTCAGGTTAACACTTTACTTACTATTACTGGGTTTATAAAAGATACAACTAAAAAACATCCAAGGAAGAGATATGTAAGGCAAGGTTTGGGGAAGGGCATGGAAGTTCCATGCCTTCTCTGGGCACTACCCTCCTAGCACCTTGATGTTTTCCCTAACCCTGAGCCTCATCAGTTAGAAGATTTTAGGGAGGTACCATTCTGTGGGCACAGTTGATTAAATCATTGGTTATCCGTGATCAAACTCAGCCTCTAACCCCTTTTCCCTCCCCAAAGGTGGGGCTGAGATTTCCATCCCTCTAGTCCCACAACTGGTCCTCTGGTGACCAGCCCCATCCTGAGGTTGTGCAGGGACTCTACCTGTGTTACCTCAGTAGCATAAGCTCATGTGTGATATAAGAGGCCCCTTGTGAATAACAAAAGATGCTCCTACTGGGAAATGCTAAAGGCTGTTCAGAATCACCAGGCCAGGAGTCAGGGATACAGATCAGATCTCTTTCTTGCTATACCCTAGTTATCAGGGGAATGCTACCCTCAGCCTGGAGGTTGATAAGAAATCACATGGGAATGTGGTCAGGGTCAGGACAGCCACCTGTCCTCTCCTGAAAGGTTCTCTTATGTTCTGGCACCTAATGGGGGCTCATTGTGAAAGTGGGACCAAAACTCACAGGCTTCAGTTTGGGATTGAAAAAAAGAACAAATATAAAAAACTAGATTTCCTCCTCTCATCTTACCCAGAAATGGGGACCAATTTCTAGAACATTCTGTGTTGCAACTATAAGCTGTTGGGTGTTATTTTTTGAGGGAGGAAAAGCTATTCATTGGGGGCAGGTGGTGAGGGGAAACGAGCCTCCTGCAGACAGTAGCACAGGCCAACAGGGAGATTTGGCCAACACATGAGCAGATGGGTGCTGGCTTGGACACCACCATTCTGGTAACCTTAGGCCCCTCTCCACAGGGGATGTGACCTTGGACCCAGACACTGCCAACCCTGAGCTGGTCCTGTCTGAGGACAGAAGGAGTGTGCAGCGGGGTGAGCAGCGGCAGGCCCTACCAGACAGTCCTGAGCGCTTTGACCCTGGCCCCTGCGTACTAGGCAAGGAACGCTTCACCTCGGGCCGCCATTACTGGGAAGTAGAAGTTGGTGACCGTGCCAGCTGGGCCCTGGGTGTTTGCAGAGAGAATGTCAACCGGAAAGAGAAGGGGGAGCTGTCAGCCGGCAATGGGTTCTGGATCCTGGTGTTCCTGGGGAGCTATTACACCTCCACAGAGCCAGCCTTCTCCCCACTCCGGGACCCTCCCAGGCGTGTGGGAATCTTTCTGGACTATGAGGCTGGACGTCTGTCATTCTACAGTGCAACTGATGGGTCGCTGCTGTTCATCTTCCCTGAGACCCCCTTCTCTGGCACACTCCGGCCCCTCTTTTCTCCTCTGTCCAGCAGCCCAACCCCTATGACCATATGTAGGCCAAAAGTTGGGCCTGGGGATGCCCTAGCTCCTTAGTGACTCACATTGTCAGAGGAGTCTCTTTACCTTTCCTGGCCCCTTATCCTGGCTTCTGGGTCCTTCAGCCTCATGCCTCATGGAGGACCTGGGAGGGGGGAGTAGTGGGAGGAACACATAGTGCCTTTCTGAATGTGTGTGAGAATCCTGGATTCTGACTCTGGGAGGCTGTACAGAGCAGGCTCTGAACTTCCCATGGGTCCCTTCCAGGCCAGGGGTGCCAATTAGCACCAGCAGCCTTATCAAAGCACAGAGCCCTAGAGCCCTAGCACCTGTGTCCCAAGGTTCCAGGAATGGCACCAGCCCCTCCAGAAACAGAACACAGGGCTGTACTATTCCAGCAGCCTCAGGCTGCATCCTGTTGCACACTCTCCCTCCCACCCCTGCAAAGTCCCAGGCACCTCAGCTCAGTGAAGATGCTAGGTAAGGTAGCTAAGAGTGGGGAGCCAGCTCCAAGCCTACTTATGGGTTTGGTCCTATAAGTGAGAGGGCCGGTAGGAGTCATCACCACCCTGGATGTGGTTGGTGTAGAATTAGGGACAGCAGTCTCTAGAGAGGAGATGATCTAAGGGAGCCAGTGAGAGCAAACAGAAGTAAACAACCATAAATAAGTGTTGTGTGCAGAGATTACTGTTCAGCAGATGTATGGGGCCCGAGGTTGACAGTAGCACTCGGAAACGACACTTGTGGACACACCTTTGTTCTGAAACCCTGAGCATGCCCCAAGCGCTTGAAAACACTTCCCTGGGATCCAAAGTGGCTTTCTGGTGAGGGTTTGTGTGTGCGCCACCCTAAATTGCCTGTCTCATAGAGAGACAGCTCCAGTCACCAGGACCCAGGAGAATGCTTTTGTGTTAGTTTGGGGATGTTTTATTCCTCCATTTTATTTATTGAAAGGATAGTGTTCCCACTCTAAATAAACTTTGTCATCTGCAGTTCTGTCTCCTGCTTATCCTGTGGGTAAATGATGGGTGCCCTCACATGCCAGGCAATGGTGGGCTCTAGGGAGAGGATGGTCATAGAACAGGGGAGTGTTCAAAGTCCCAGACACCCAGCTGCTGTTCATGTAGGACATTTTGTTCAACGTTTGTATCAAATACATGTAGCAGGCAAGGGATTTTTTTTTCAGGTCTAGTAAACAAGACTTGGGTTTAATTAGCACTTTTACGTGTCATTTAACATGTCCGCTCATGCTTCCATTATACACCTTTATTTCGAGGGGGGGAGGCTATTCTGTGACATTTGCACACACTGAAACAATAGCAGTCAATCACTAGGAGGGAGCAGTCAATCATGGGAAGGGGGCTACAAGCATAAGACCCTGAGTTCAAACCCCTAGTACTACCAAAGGGGGAAAAAAATCACTGGGAGGTTGGTGCAACCACAAGGCATTTTTCCTCAAGCCAGGTGCTCTGGTTGTGGAGTGAGTGTGGCCATCTTCGAACCATAGGCATACTGGCCATGGCTTGCCTTCTATTAGAGACTTAAGTCTTATTGATGACCCCTAGGTGAGTTGACCACTTGGGGCTTAAAGTTGACCCTGGTAGGCAGGCATGGTGGTTCACACCTATAATCCCAGCTACATAGGAAGTGGAGGTAAGATCAAGGTCTGAGGTAAAATTGAGATCTTGTCTGGAAAATAACCTAAAAGCAAAAAGGTTTTAGACTTGGCTTATGTGATATACTTCCCACCTACCCAAACACAAATACCATTTTTTTTAAAAATGGCCCTAGCAAACAGGCTTAGGGAGCCTTGGGTGACACCATCGTATGCTCACAGCTCCAGCCACAGGTGGAGGGAGACTAAATCCAGGAAGGAAAGACTCATAACTCCTAAAACCAAATACCTGTAATTCTACAATTCTGTAATTCCAGATGCTCTACCACTGACTTAATGGGTCCCTGTAGGTCACACCAGTCTATGTAGCATGCCGATGATAGAGAACACCCAGGTTCTGTCCTGGAGATGACCACACAGTGACAGAGATTAAACAGTTTATATAAGACCATGCTACAAGACCAGGATCAAGTCCCACACTGACAGGGGCAAGTCTCACACTAACATTGGAGAGTCCTACAATAAAAGCTCTGCTTTTGCTGGATGCCATTGGTTTTGTTACAGTAGTATCATTTTCATTCATCTCTATACCCATCCTGATTTTCTGGGATCTGTTTGACACACGGACTGTTTAGAAGTTAGTTGTTTAGTTTCCAGTGTTTGTTGATTTCCTTCTATTGTGGACCAGTAATAAACTCAACTGTATTCAAAATACATGTGTTTTGATGCTTTTGCAACTGGTTTCAATTTCTTTTAGCCTGTGGAAGGTCCTCAGTGTTTCTTCTAAAGCAAATCTTTTAGCAGCACACTCCATTTTTGTGTATCAGTGTGTATATTATTCACCCTCACTTTTTAAAATTTTATTTTTATCATATTGTTGTAGTGGGGATACATTGTGACATTTACAAAAGTGCTTACAATACATCTTAGTTAAATTCACCCCCTCCATCATGCTCCTAGAATCAGGAACAAGGCAACAGTTCCTCTCCACTCTTATTCAATATAGTGCTTGAATCTCTAGCCAGAGCAATAAGGCAAGACTGTGAAATAAAAGAGGTGTAAGTAGGAAAGGATGAAGTCACATTACTCCTATTTGCAGATGACATGATCCTATACTTCAGTGGCCTTAAAGACTTCACCAAAAATCATCTTAGATCTAATTAATACACTTTTGGCAAAGTAGCAGGACACAAATCAAATACAAAAATCAATAGCTTTTTTATATACCAACAACAAACAGGTTGACAATGAAATCAGAAAAAATATAATCCCATTCACAAAAGCCTTAAAAAATTAAGCACAGTAGGGATCCAAAATGGTGACTGGGACACAGACACAGACTGCATGAACTCTGTGAATCAGGGACCTTGTTGAGATGCTGGAGACACACTTGGCTGAGGTAAAGCATCAGGGAGAGCTGAAACTTTGGCACGCTGAACCCCAAGCTCGTGGAAGACTTCTCCACGCCACCATACACTGAAAGAGCAGGCACCACCCCCACAGGCCTGCCAGAGTGCCGCTCACTGGCCCATCAGGCCTCAGCCCCACAGGCACGCCAGGCCTCCACCCACCCACTGGCCCACCAGCACACCATCTACCACCTGCCAAAACAGAGCTCCAACACCACCAGATGCCAGCTCCAAACATGCCTAGGAGAGGCAGACAAACAGGACTGGATGCTAAAGGAGTAACACCAGAACTACTAAGACTGAAATTCTACTGTTCCTGAACCAGGAACTTTTTCTTTTTCTTTTTTCTTTAAGTCTTTGTCTTGTTCATTGTCTGATTGTCCCCCTTATCTCCCTGCTGATTTCTTTGGTTCTCCACTTTTTTTTCTTTTCCTTCTTTTCTTTTTTCTCCTTCTTTCTTGGTTTTGTTAGTTTTACTATTGTAAGTTAGCTAATACTAAATTACACATAGACCAGGGACAGAAACAGGACCAAGTGGAATTATGGGAAGATGAAAAAAGGATGGAAACCATTCCCCCCCCCAAAATAAATTAGTACAGGATTCAGAGAGAAATGAGTAAAATGGGTACCAACATCCAGACTCCAACAAAACAAAGATAAACTGTACCAAGGAACCAAAGGAAGCCCACAAGAACACTGAAAGAAGAAATCCTGCAAGTAATCAATGAGAATTTCATAGAGATGTTACTAGACATGGTCAACCAAAACATACAGGAGTCACTCAAGAAATTAAAGACAAAAAAAATAATATGAGAAAACACAACAACAAATAAATAATATCATAGGAGCCCTAAATAAACACCAAAATGAAACAGAGAACACCATAAATAGAGAAATGAATTAAGGCTGAAAATGGACAATATTAAAGAAGGAGTGACCCATGATATGGAAAACGTCAGAAAAAAGAAGGAAATGGAAATACAAAACACAATGGAAAGCCACTGAAGCAGACTAGAACAAGCAGAAGACAGAATCTCAGAACTTGAAGATAAAATGGAAATTAAAGGAAAAACTGAAGAAATATTAAATGACTCAAGATGTGTGAAAGGAATATGCAAGAACTCACCAACTTCATCAAAAGACCAAACCTGAGAATCATGGGCATTGAAGAAGCAGAAGAGGTGCAAGAAAAAAGGGATTCATAATATATTCAGCAAAATAATAGAAAATTTTCCAATCAGGAGAAAACTATACTCATCCAAGACACCGAACAGACTTGACCAAAATAGAACTACCCCATGACATATTATCATTAAACAACAATGACAGAAAACAGAGAAAGAATGTTGAAGGCTGTAAGAGAGAAAAAACAAAGTATATACAAAGTTAAACCCATCAAAATCAACCATATTTCTCAATGGAAACCTTAAAAGCAAGAAGAGGATGGAGTGAGGTCTTCCAGGCACTGAATGAAAATAACTTCAGCCATAGGATACTCTACCCAGCAAAACTATCATTCAAAATAGATGGAGCAATAAAAGTCTTCCATGAAGCAGAAACTAAACCAATATATGATCATCAAGCCACCACTATAAAAAATTCTTCAAGGAATTCTGCACTCAGAAAGTGAAAGCAAATAAAAACATGAAAGGGCAGGCAATACCAAACCACAGGAGAAGAAAAGGCAAGAAAGTAGAGAGTAATACTGATTCAGCTGTACGCAATCAAACCCTTAAACAAAAAAGATAACTAAATGACAGGAATCACCACATACCTATCAATACTAACACTGAATGTTAACAGACTTAACTTCCCCATCAAAAGACACCGTTTGGCAAACTGCATTAAAAATGAAGATCCAACAATCTGGCGTACAGGAGACCCATCTCATCAACAGAAACAAGCACTGGCTTAGGGTGAAAGGCTGGAAGATCTACCAAGTCAATGGTCCCTGAAAACAAGCAGAGGTAGCAATACTTATCTTGGACAAAGTAGACTTTGTATTTGATCAACTTACATTGATCAGTCAAGATAAAGAAGGACACTCCATACTAATAAAAGGGGAAATACACCAAATGGAAATAACAATTATCAACCTATGCACTCAAAGTCAATGCACCCAATTTCATCAAACATACTCTGAAGAACCTAAAAACATATATAGACTCCAACACAGTGGTAGTGGGAGACTTTAATACCCCCCCCATCACCAATAGATAGGTCATCCAAACAAAAAAATCAATAAAGAAATTCTAGAACTAAATCACGTGATAGATCAAATAAACCTAGCAGATGTCTACAGAATATTTCATCCAACTTCTGCACAATATACATTCTTCTCAGCAGCTCATGGAACCTTCTCCAAAATTGATCATGTCTTAGGGCACAAAGTAAACCTCAGCAAATATAAGAAACCAGAAATAATCCCATGCATTCCATCTGATCACAATGCATTAAAACTAGAACTCAACAACAAAAACAACAGAGAAAACATGCAAACAATTGGAAGCTGAATAACACATTGCTCAATGATCAATGGGTCACTGATGAAATAAAAGAGTAATTAAAAGTTCCTGGAAGTTAATGAAAATGAAAACATGACATACCAGAACCTATGGAACACAGCAAAGGCAGTCCTAAGAGGAAAGTTTATAGCCATGAGTGCATATATTAAAAGGTCAGAAAGATGTCAAATCAATGACCTAATGCTACATCTCAAACCCCTAGAAAAACAAGAACAAGCAAATCCCAAAAGAAGCAGAAGGAGAGAAATAATAAAAATAAGGGCTGAAATCAATGAAATAGAAACAAACAAACAAAAAAAAACATACAAAGAATCAATGAAACAAAAAGCTGGTTCTTTGAAAAAATAAATAAGATTGACAGACCCCTGGCAAACTTGACTAAAATGAGGAGAGAAAAAACCCAAATCAGTAAAATCAGAAATGCAAAAGGGGAGATAACAAACACCATGGAAATCCAGGAAAATCATCAGAGACTACTTTGAGAACCTATATTCTGAAAAAATTGAAAATCTTGAAGAAGTGGTCAGAGTTCTAGATACTTACAACCATCCAAAAATGAACCAAGAGGATATTAATCACCTGAATAGATATATAACACAAAACAAAATTGAAGCATCAATAGAGTCTCCCAAAAAAGAAAAGGCAAGGACCTGATGGATTCTCTGCTGAATTCTATCAGATCTTTAAAGAAGAACTAATACCAAACTTCCTTAAACTGTTCCACAAAACAGAAAGGGAATGAACATTGCCTAACTCATTTTTGAAGCCAATATTACTCTCATCCCAAAACCAGACAAAGATACCTCCAAAAAGAACCCTAGGCCAATTTCCTTAGAACATCATGCAAAAATCCTCAATAAAATAATGGCAAATTGAATCCAACAACACCTCAGAAAGATCATCCACCATGACCAAGTTGCCCAGGTATGCAGGAGTGGTTCAACATATGCAAATCAATAAATGTAACACAGCACATTAATAGAAGCAAAGACAAAAACCACTTGATCATCTTAATAAATACAGAAAAAGCGTTTGACAAAATCCAACACCACTTCATGATAAAAGCTGTAAGAAAACTAGGAATAGAAGGAATGTACCTCAACATTGTAAAGGCTATACATGACAAACCTACAGCCAACATCATACTTAATGGTGAAAAACTGAAACCATTCCCTCTAAAATCAGGAACGAGACAAGGGTACCCACTATCCCCACTCCTATTCAACATAGGAATCCTACCCAGAGCAATTAGGCAAGAAGAAGAAATAAAAGGAATATAAATAGGTAAAGAAACTGTCAAAATATCCCTATTTGCAGGCAGTATGATCCCATAGCTTAAAGACCAAAAAAACTCTACCCAAAAACTCCTAGACACCATAAACAGCTTCAGCCTCTTCAATAAATGTTGCTGGGGAAAGTGGTTATCCATCTGCAAGAAACTGAAACTAGATCCATGTTTATCATCCTGTACTTGTATCAACTCAAAATGGATCAAGGACCTTAATATCAGACCTCTAAAGTTGTTACAGGAAAGAGTAGGAAACACTTTGGAAGTAATAGGTATAGGTAAGGACTTTCTCAATAGAACCCCAGCAGCTCAGCAACTAAGAGAAAGTATAGACAAATGAGACTTCATAAAACTAAAAAGCTTCTGCACAACAAAAGAAATGGTCTCTAAACTGAAGAGACCACCCAGAGTGGGAGATAGTATTTGCCAGCTATACATCAAAGGACTGAC